AATGTCGTGTTCATATAATGTCGTGTTCGTATAATGTCGTGTTCATATACTGTCGTGTTCATATAATGTTGTGTTTAAATAACGTCGTGTTCATATAATGTTGTGTTCATATAATGTTGTGTTTATATAATGTTGTGTTCGTATAATGTCGTGTTCGTATAATGTCGTGTTCATATAATGTTGTGTTCATATAACGTCGTGTTCATATAACGTCGTGTTCTTATAATGTTGTGTTCATGTAACGTCGTGTTCATATAATGTCCTGTTCATATAATGTTGTGTTCATATAATGTTGTGTGTTCATATAACCTCGTGTTCATATAATGTCGTGTTCATATAATGTCGTGTTCATATAACGTCGTGTTCATATAGACGTCGTGTTCATAATGTTGTGTTCATATAATGCCGTGTCATATAATATAATGCCGTGTTCATATTATATGATGCCGTGTTCATATAATATAATGCCGTGTTCATATTATATAATGCCGTGTTCATATAATATAATGCCGTGTTCATATAATATAATGCCCTGTTCATATAAGATAATGTTGTGTTCATATAATATAATGTTGTGTCATCTATGATACCGTGTTCAGATAATGCCGTGTTCATATAATATAATGTTGTTTTCACTATATGTCATGTGGTATACTGGTAATATAATGGTCTACCTACGAGATATAATGCGTTTTTTACCAAACGTGATGTCTTATTTGCCTAATATAATGTATTTTCTATGGAATAGAATGTGACATCCTGCTATTATAAAGGTCTTAATGATGTGTATAATGACAAATGAAAATAACATACTATCATTTTGTTAACCTAAGACAGTAGTGGCGTTCCATACAGTGGCACGCTGGCGCCTTATTCGTGAACGCGTTGGTTCGTTTTGGTACTCAAGTTTATTAAACACGCTGGTTCGAGGATTGACTAAAATCACTCTTAGGAAGTGTGCACAGGTCAATACAACCAAATGAAGGAACAGAGACCTAATTTACTCACCGTTTATGGTCTTTTCAGTACTTTAACTTCAACAGTTTCTTCCTTTAGCTATGGCGTACTTTGTCGACTCGCAAGCGACTTGTGATGCCAGGACCATGAGACTATCGTGGCTTCCGATTGGTTTATAGATCGGAGTTCTATTGTGTGCTCCAATTGGTTGACTCGTAATTCCATTGTTACATTACATTACATTACATTGGAATCGAGCTTCGTTCTCCATAACCTTTTCGTGCATCGGCTCTATGATGCTGCCGCCTCGCCAGCCTCGCGTCTTCGCTCGGCTGGCTCGTTGGCAATTAGTATTCATTGTGTTATCACATTGATTGATTTTAGTGACTATTTGTATTGCCATTTTTCAGTTATTTTATAAAAATCTTTAATAAAAACAATTCATGCATTTATTTACTTTTTTTGCTCTCTTTGACACTTGATATGATAATAAAGCACTTATTTACTGGAAACCTCGGGAAACAGCATGTTTTGCGGTCTCGGGACCACAAAACATGCTGTTTCCCTCGGTTCCAGTAAATAAGTGTTAAATAGTTTTCACAAGGCCGGTAAATTATAATATGCTTTACTCACTATAATTTCTTTTTTTTTTTTTTCAAAGTTTTTTTTTCTTTTTGTTGTTGTGGATTCTATTACTTATGTTTCATGAATTGTTTTATGGTATACCCATGGGGCTGAGTTTTGATCAACCGACKCAGGAAGCCCAGTTGTCCTTCCGTACGTACGGCGTACGTACGTCCGTGTACATCGCGATTCTGATTGGCTACTAGCTTTTGGCGGCAAGAAGAAGCGCGCTCGCGTCAATTTTTGAAAACAATTTTTTCACCAACGACGAAAACGACTCCATTTTTTCTTTGAATCACTTCACTTCTGAGCCAAAAATGTCGAAAATCAAGGYGTAGCTAATGGAAAGCGATCTTTATCTGAATAAGAAATGAAGAAAAAGAAAAAGAAAGCGCCGAAGAAGTCTTAGTGAAGAACAACACGACTGCGTCTCGTGCGTACTTTTTTGTTCTCACTACATTTTMACGTCATCTGTGTATCTATTAGAGTACACACGCACGGAAAAATGAGATCTATTTGTTAAGTACACAACATTACAAGAATTCAGAATGAGTGGTTTTCTTTACATATTATATATATCACTACTTTGCACCGACAAAGCTGAAGAAGAAAGACGAGTTTAATATTTAATTTAGTGCCATGGATTTTTTTCGTTTGCCAAAATAAATTAGTTGGCCTCGGCACAAAGTACGCAAAACAGCCATTAGTCATTTGAGGCAAAGTTCTCTATGCCCGGCAGTCTAAACTTCTCGTTCTCGAGAAAATGAAATAAGTACGGCAAACACATGACTGAAATTAATATTCTTCCTTTCAAGCYCTTTTCTAATAACTTTCATGAAATGAAACGACTACGAATCCAGAAATGAACACTTTTTCGTTCTTGAAACGTATTAAGCGCTTTCCAAGCGATCCAGAAGCAAAGCGTAGAGTTTTAGTCATGTTTTCAGTTGCAAATTATGAGTACCGGGCATCGTATTTCCCCGATTTTGAAACCGCCGATCAAGCTCAGGGCTTGACATTTCTCTTCAAAGGAAGAATATTTTCATGTCTGTAATCGTGATTGTTTTATATTTCATTTTCTCGAGAAATTTAGACTGCCGTGTATGTACATAGTCTTTCGCGAGGTAAAAATTTCGAAGTGCCTCAAATGACTATTTCGTATTCTGTGCCGTGGACAAGGAATTTGCTGAAATTCGAATCTACTGAGTTCACGGCAAGCGCTTGACAATTCTCAATGAATATAAAACGGTTTGATACATTTAATCTTAGCGGTTTTATTGATTTTTGTGAGAAAAATAGACTTTTATAAGGCATTCTAGTCTTTTGCGACCGAACTTATGGCCTGGGATGACGTCACAAGAGTCGCGCCAGTCCCCGCTTGGACAAAAGAATTTGACGCACTTAATTTTGGCTTTATTTTTCCGATTTCGTCCCAACCGTTTYCAAAATAATCACCAAACTTTCACAGAAAGTCTTACAAGGTTCATAAAAATTGTTATAGATAATAAAAAAAATCGTGAAGGTGCACTTTAACAAAACACATGTAGTCTGACAAATGTGCCTTGCATCCCATTTTTATCCAAGATGCATTGCATATCTTTGGGAGCTCCGCTATTAGGTTTTACCTAATTTTTATATTATGTCTTAAATTAATGTTATATTGACTAATCTATTACTTATTGCTACTAACCATTTCTTTTCATAGTTGAGGGAAAACTGCACTCTAGAAGTGCGGTAAGCCGGAAACCACTGCACATCACTTATAAGATTCCTATGATGCGCTAGTCACTGATCAACTCACCTCTGATACAATCGAAGTAAATTCACTCGTATCAAACTCCCATTGGTCACGAGYAAGGCTGCATCGTTTATCATAGCCATCTTTCCCAGGTGAGAAAGTACCAGTGACGTTACAAGACGAGCTGTTTTTCACGCAGCGCCATGGAGGCTCCGCAGCCAAAAAGGACGATATCACGCCTTGCCAACCATTTCCAAATAAAGTCATGGTACCCATGGCCATCAAAAGAAGGAATTGGTATCGACCAAAGCTACCAATCTTCTCCAGTTGTTATGGGTTCCATTATTGCTGAGAGTACGATTGCAGACTGAAGCTGAACGTTTAAGAATATATTATCATTGAATCATTGATTTTTTTGTTTAGACATGGATTATTGTTCTCATGATTACTGTAGCATGAACAGTGGAAATCATACATTTCATTATTATTAAAATGATGCTTAACCATTTCGTCAAAAGGATTACACATTAGCTCCTACAGGAAACAGGGTTATTCTAAACTCGGGAAAAAGATACATTTTCTTGTGCCCTTTTTAGATCGATAAAAGCCGCGCTTTTCGCTTTGAACTCGAGAATGGAGTATATTGACAAAAGCTGATGACAATTTTGTCTACCAACTGTGTCATTTATGATATGTTCATTTTGGCTTAGAAATCTTTAGTTGAAAATTATTCAGGGTTTATTTCAAACTGACGCAGTTACTAGGGGCTATCCATAAAATTTTGAAGGGGGGATTGAAGGGGGGCTGTTAGGTCAGGGTCTGAATGGGGTAAACCGACTAGCGACAAATGGATAAAATAACAACTGACTAGCGACAAATTGGAACAAATCGCTGACTGCCGACAAGAACCTATTTACTTACTGGCGACATTTTCCTTAAAACAATTATTTTCAGGCAATTGTTGAAGGATATTAGCTTCTTGAATACAAGTTGTTTTTTTTTTTGTATTGTTCAAGCAGCTACATTGGAAGTTTTCATTTTTCCGGGAAAAATAACGTTTTCTTCAGATTAGCTTCTGGAAGTTCAAAACTTTGAGTGGCATCCAATTGACCAATCAAGACTCAAGGATTCAATTGTTAGCATTTTAGAAAGCATTCTGTTGACATAACGTACTGGTTTAGATGCATTCAAATTTAATGTTTATCAATTTTTTTTCAAATAACCGACTAGCCACAAATGCCTAGAATTTCAACTGACTACCGACAAATGACTGGTGACATCTTTTTCAATTTTCTCTTGCGTGCGTTATATATGTCATTCAAGTTCCACGTATCATGTTATTGAGAGAAAGAGGTTCTAGAATYCTGTTGTTATTATCTATAACGCGAAATCACTTTTTACGGCGATGCTAAATTAGTTTTCTATACCACTGAAATTAAGTATCAGAACACCCAAACTATGTCAATCCACTTACGTCCTAAACTTGATCTGGTTGGAAAATAGCACAATTATCAACGTCTCTTCAATCAATGTCTTGAAATCAGGATGTAGACAAAAATCTTGGCATTGCCAGACAATAGACGTACACAATCGCGTGATACAGTGATATAGATGTATACAGATATATAAACTATACAGATTTATTATATATCAAGTGTCAAAGTTCACTTTTCCTAGTATCTTATTGGTCGAGAGTGTACCACGTGAAAGTCACAAAATTTTACTGTTTCCCGGCAACTGTCCACCAGCGGTCAATAATATGTTGTGGACCGTCAATAAGTACAAAATCGCAGAAAAACACTCTTCAGTGTCGTGAAAATGCCACATTTACGGACGGTGAATTCCAAAATTGTTTTGAAACATTTAATTTCGTCTACAAATAGTTATAATATTCATTGTGTTATTAAATTGATTGATTTTAGTGACATTTGACTATTTGTATTGCCATTTTTCAGTCATTTTATCAAAATCTTTAATAAAAACACTTAATTTATTTACGTTTTTTGCTCTCTTTGACACTTGATATGATAATAAAGCACTTATTTACTGGAAACCTCGGGAAACAGTATGTTTTGCGGTCCCTCGACCGCTGATGTTTCCCTCAGCTTCGCTTCGGGAAACATTAGCGGTCTCGGGACCACAAAACATACTGTTTCCCTCGGTTCCAGTAAATAAGTGTTAAATAGTGTCACGAATGTATTGTGACATGAGCTGTATCGCTTGTCCGGTGTAAATTATAGGCAGTACTGTTTAACCGTAAAGATACATCAACGGATGAGAGAAAAGTAATTAAAAGAAAACYCGCAGACGACTTAGGTCAAGGCGGCTCTCTTACCGTGTTTCTAGGTCTGATGAGAGTTGTTCAGAAGTCAACTGATTGCCTTTGTATTTATCAAAAATATGTTATATAAGTCAATCTTTTAAGAAGAAAAAATAGAAGAGCAATACTGCGCACTGGCTGCGTCTAACGTTTACACTAATCTGCTCTCGCATTCTCACAACATCATTTCGTGCATTAGCCACACCAAAGCTTGTCGTCTAGGATATTGCTTGAGAGAATGATCGCATTTCAGAAAGTACTGTCAACAGCTACTCATACAAATCAATATACGATTATTGCAAAAAAGCAGTCTAATATTTTGCGAAGGGAGCTCACGCAATCAATTTCGGCTTTAAGAGTGGACACCATACTTGTCGTTGCCATAGAAACGTCCTTGAAAATAATTCCAGTGAAAGGCACATTCACATCTCAAATACGCGAAGTTATTTATGAATGAATAGCTATTCAAATTATATGTCTGTTGTTCATAAGTCATGGTATCTTTTTTCTATAATAAAGTTGCTAGTCATTTTGATGGACATAGCCCAGAAGTTTGGGAGATCGATTATTGACGAGCTGTTCATGTATCAAAAGATGACGACCAGCAAGCTCATATCTCTAASGGTGTCACGGAAAAGAAAAGAGAGAGCACATCGGTATCGATTTTTCTCTGCGTTATTATCATTGTAACTGATTTAATTTAACAATATTYGTAGAGCAATCTCTTAGGCGGGTTAAAAATCAGTCAGCCACGCCCTTTTCCCACCCCCCTCACATGTTCCTATCAATTTAACGACAAAAAGGAAATGATACCTCTAAAAAAAAGTTGTAATTGTAATTGTAATTTGATGACTTAATTTCAAGTGATGTTGCTTGGCGTTAAGGGTTAATCCAAACGATGGTTGTGGGACTGATCATTGTGGATTCAGATTAATTTCTAAACAATCGGTGTTTTTTTAAGGAAGATCAAGAGCAGCACTACCACTGGAAGGGAAAGAGAAAGCTAAAAAATAGGCAAAGCAATATATATGTTATGTTAATATGTTATTAAGGAGAAAATTAATACGCTCTGAATTAATGTTCTCAAGGGAATGGATATAAAAAGTCAAGGGCAGACGGTCTGATTTCAAGCAAAAATGGTAATTGGTAATTGGTAATTGGCAGTGGTAATTGTAGCTTATATTAGAAACAATTTTAAATTAAATTTATGTTGAAATATATCTCTTCAGATCAAGGATTGGCGTTCATCATTGGTCCCATAATCATCCACATTGTGTACAAGTTTCTCAGTCTCTGATTCAACTGCTTCCTTAGTTGGCTCGTTGTTGGTCTCTTGTAAAGTAAAACACAGTACACAGGCGATGAACGAAGCGATAGCAAAGATAGAATACGGTATCAAAGCATGGATACTGATCTGAAAACCCAAAATAGTAAGATAATCGTTTAGTAACTKTTTGCCCTGCCAATCATAACGAAAATGATAGAGGTATATCACATACAAGTTGAACTATAAATGGAGCTGAAATCGAACCAATTCTGCCGGCTGCAGAAGACGTCCCCAAACCAACYTTTCTATGTATACAAGAAAAAAAGGATATAAATTAAAAATTATAAAAAGAAGCGACAATATGTTATAATATACAACGTTTTTTTTCAAGAAGTTGATATAACTCTACCAATGAAGTTGAAGTTACTCTAGTACTCTAAAATGGGTACAAAATTGCTTTTAGATGAGGAGTCAAAATTACTCCCCCAGGTTCAGTTACAATTGATGGATTGAATTTTACTCCAGAAAAGGAGTTATTTGGTTGATAATTCGCAGGCGGTTTTCCACTGTCTGCACTCTTAGTGACAATGAAATTGACGTCAAAAATGCCAAAAACGCAAGTGGAACCCCGAGCGTAAGCGAATTAATAGGAGTACGGAAAATAGGAAACCGCCTGCAATTTTTTTTATATATAATAACTTYTAGATTTCTCCATTTAAATTATTGATTATTTTGTGGAATTCTGCGTAGCCCCCCCAATTTTGATTTTTCTTAAATAAAGAAGCGAAGAGCCTCCTTATGAAATTTCACCATATATATTCCATAAAAATTGTGTAAAAACGAGCGTGACCAATTAAAATTGAAACTCTTTTGCGAAGTCTTTGCCATTTACAATATCGCTGACCGTGTGGGCGTTAAAAATGTCTTTGATAACGCTTCAAAGCGCTGGAAATGACATTTCCGAGAGTTAAGATTTCCCAACAAAATCACGCTCCGCGGTCCCTCTATTACGATTCGCTATTTTAACATTTAGTATATTACTTTGAATTATATTATAGCAAAATAAACATTACAAGTGGATTAGGGAAGGTCAAGGCTAAGGTCAAGGATTGTCGCGKTTATAACGAAGATCGGTCATGATCGGTAGTCGCCGTAAGTTCACGCGTCCAACCATGTCCAGCCTGGCCTTCATTAGAATGACAAAATTGAGGAAAGAAAGTATTTGTATATATTTTTATGTAGGAGAGCTATATGTGGTACCATCATCAAGGGACACATCTCTGGCGGGATGCTTCAAAACCAGACAAAACCAACCATTTCCAGAGTGTTCTAATCCCAGAAAAGGAAAGGATTATCTGCAAATTCATGTGGGGGTAAATTTCAATACCTCGGGTAAAACCCAAACACTGTCTGATTGTAGCACACAAAAGCCGAACAGATTTGTAGTAAAAGATAAAAGAAGAAGAAGATTTTACGGAGTCAGGATTCACTTCAGGTTGAACACTTTTTCCACTTCCTCGAGCAGTTCGACGTCATTTAGTATGTTTGCATTAAAACGTCTAAGTTAAACTTGTGAAATGCGGGAAAATCCATATTTTTATAGTGAATAATTTTTTAAACAAAGGAACAAAAATGCACTCAAAAGAAAGCACGCGTCGTCATTGTCAATCAGCGCGCGAGAAATCTACATGTTATTATAAAATACCTATTTTTAACTACTCTTTTGAAATTATATCAACTCCTTGAAAATAACATTATAGATTGACGAAATATTCTGGAGCCAAAACGCAACAAAACCCCTAAATTGGAGATATTAACGATTCTCAAATGATATTTAGAGATACACGGATTAGCATTGTGAGTTTCTTTCGACGTCCGACCTCTACGGCCGGAGTTGATGATGATGATGATAATGTTGAAAACGTCGACTATAACACAGGCAACCCAAGCAGAGCATACAAAATTTTTTTTTTTTAATAAAATCATCATACCTTGATATCATGTGTTCTTGATGTTATTTAACATTGCTGTGTGTGGTTTTGAAGGGATTTAGATCTATCTTATAAAAAAAATATCACCCTCAGTAGTAAAAGACTACAAGGCTGGTTACAGAGCGTCCACAACACTCGTCTTTAATAGCCGAAAAAAAAAAACCCGACTACTAAGGGGAGCGCAGAAAATTGTACAACTGTCTACATCCCCCAAGGAACTTTCACCATTATATTCGTAGTTTGCCAAGACCCTTTGGAAACAAGAACTAATAAGTTTTACTAAGCTTATAAGCTTAATCTATTCATCATTTTTTTCATACATGAAAATAGCTAGTGCTACGAAATTGATAAAGTAAGAAGAACCGACGGAAAGATTCCATTTTATAATGCTTGAAACACTTTGACTTTGCATCTTTTCTGAAAATAAACCTATGCAGCGTGCTTCAAAAATGATTTAAGATATTTTTTTTCGGCTATTAAAGACGAGTGGTGTGGACGCTCTGTAACCAGCCTTGTAGTCTTTTACTACTGAGGGTGATATTTTTTTATAAAAATAGGTCTAAATCCCTTCAAAACCACCCACAGCAATGTTAAATAACATCAAGAACACATGATATCAAGGTAAGATGATTTTATTAAAAAAAAATTTATGTATGCTCTGCTTGGATTGCCTGTGACTATAATTACGCTTTGTTTACTCACCGGGCGACAGTAGGGAAGAGTTCGGCGGAAAAAACATATAGTGTGTCAAAGGCAAAGGTGATGAAAAACTTGGCGGTCATGGACATTACGATGCGACCAACACGAAATCCTAACAAACAAAAAAAAAGTGTAAAACTTCTCTTTAAGGAGGATTATGATGGAAGGGAAATAAATTGTCATGTGCATGCGAAGCTATTATATATAAAAAAAGATATTTCAGGGGACAATCTAAATAWAATCTCATCAAGGAGGGTTGCAGGAAAATGTATACTATACAAAGAGACACAGGGGTTACAAAATGGAGAAATGCGCACAAAGGGAGCAAAGTCTTGAGGGTAAATTCGTCCTTCCTGCCGAAACTACAATTATGAAATTAATTTGAACAGTGTGGTGCTAGACAATTACATTTATTTAGCCGCAGTAGGCCTGGCCAGTTAGTTGATAGTTGTTTATCCAGAGAAGCTATATGAACAGTTTTGAGGATAGATTGGTAGTTTTATAAGAATTAAACCTGGTAGGCAAAGGCCCATATTGTGAAATGTCTTTTTCACCTGTTTGTGAGGGATCTCTTTGGAGAAGAACCGCAGCTGTGGATGCTATCGATGCCAGTATCAAACTGACCAATAAACTTTTCTTTCGACCAAACCTATGAACAAAATTGATATAACCTATTTCGATAAAAAAAACGTTTGTCGGATAAAATGACGAATGACGATTACAGGACCGAAAGTAGCCATGTGTTTTACTAAATGATTAAAAAAATACCTAATGATTTATACTGTAAGCTAGTCTTTGTTAAACATCGGCTCCAGTCTGTTTAGTCTCCCGGCCATTTCTCTGTAAGATGAATCCAATAAGCAATCCAATATGCAAYATGAATCCAATYAGCGACATTTTGTTGATAAAAACAATGTAACCATAGTCCCTTTCGGTAGTGCAATTCCCTTCGCAATAGCCATTCGCCGTTCTCCTCGACAATGTTTTTTGAAATAGATGTATGATGAGTACAATTGGTATAAAATTGTTTTTCGGAGTGTGGCAGCAAAATTCATGCACAGGTTTTTATAATGGTTATCAAGTTGAAAGCGCCATTCCAAAAGTATAAGATAAGTAAAACGTGTGGGGTTATCCTCTGGCAGCATGATATGCATATCATGAATCACTCGATTCTATCGTCACTTTGGATATTTTTTGGATATTGCTGTTACACGTGATTGTGCAGAGTTTTATAAATATTCTGTGTTCTGTTTTCGATTCTCATTCCCTGGCGATGCTGTAGCTAGACAGCAAACACTTGGAGTCGTATAGTAATCACTTGCAAATAACAGCCAGGGCTTCATTTCATACAATCCTAGTATTAGATAGCTTTGTATGAAGCAGACGGGTTGCGAGATATGCCAACGCCTAAAGCGCTCTTCCCAGCTCATTCCGGGTGTCATCTTTAATGATGATTTAAATGACTTAAAAAAAGAACAAAATGGCTATCATACCTATCCATGGACTTTATTGTAAAGAAAATTGAAGGAACCTCGACGATGGCTACTAGAAAGAACGCGAGATAACGGTTTCCACCAAATGTGTCAAAGCTAAACAATGTGCCCCAGTAAACCATGGATACGACTAACCTAAGAAACAATGACATATACCTGTGTATAATTGATCATTATTGCAAGAGACTCAAAACATAGTAGACTTGTTAGACTAAAACATTACGTCCCAGCCAGATGAAACTAACGAGTAGTTGTAAGGGAAGATTATATAATACTATCAGATATAACCTTTTTAGCCAGGAAACTAAACGTTTTTCTAATGAAAATGAAAATCTCATATCAGTATCCCATTTCCAGGAAAAAAAAAACAAGAACAGTTACTTCCAAGGACAAAAGTGATTACAGCCCCCTAATGACAACGGCTGACTTCTAGTCCACCCACTTACCAAGAGAACCAAATGCTTAGGGTAATCCGAGCATGTTTTAAGGAACAGAACAGGTCTCGTATATCGCCAACACGTTGCTTCTCCTCCACGACTGCAATTGGATTTGGTGGCATCTCTTTTCCATTGAAACGTGCAATCTTCGTGAAATATGCTTTGCTTTCATCCTGTTTACCTCTCGTTATTAACCATCTCGATGACTCTGGAAGGAACCTGGTGTGAATAAGCATATTGCAGCAATGCTGTTTTTTTTACAATTATGATTATTACTAGGAGATCATAGGTTAAGAAAGATYAAACGGCGCGCGTGTCTCTGTCCTCTGATATAAACACGTTGGGAGTTCGAAAAACACGAGAGAAGCAAGCTTAGAAACACGAGCGTAGCGAGTGTTTCTCTTGCTTCTCGCGTTCTTTTATAAATTTTTTCCAGCGAAAAGAACATTTTGCCGTGTCTCTGTCCTCTGATATAAACACGGTCGTCAGCCAATCAGAGCGCACGATATATATCGAAAATTTACTTATTCTAGAGTTTTTATTCTCAATCAAATCAAAACAAATTTTTCACATATGATAAATTACAAGTCAAATGTAACTAAATTCACGATGAAAAAATTCACAAATGACCTCAAGAGATTTTTTTAAGAGGTTAGTTGAGTCAGGTATCTCATTGAAAAAAACAATGAAAATGCAAATACTCATTGCTAAGGTCATCAAGAGTGACGTCACTGTAATATAATTAGAAGACATTAACAACATCAAACCAAAGATAATGGATGATTAATGTTGGGTGGCTACTATATCATTGTATTTATGGTAAGTTAAGTTTATGATCGACTACATACCACCAGAAGAGCACCTGTAGCAAACCAGGCGCTGCAGCGGCAATAGAAAGCATCCTCCATTCTCTTAGAAGATACGCAAATAATACTAACATCATCAGCGATATGGTGAAGAAGTACCACAAGCTTGTACCGGCCATTGCGCGATGTTTGACGCCGACATACTCCACCATGAGAACAAACATAGCCAGAGATGCACTACCTATTAGGAAGGGAATGATATCTGAACTACAAAAAAACATGAAGTCGAATGGTATTGAAAGAAAGAGAGCATTAAGTGCAAAGAATAAGGAGATCAAAGATAAAAGATCCAATTTTTTGAAAAGAAGAACTAAATTTTCAAAAAATTTGGTTACTGAAAAATGTGATAAAAATAAAGATTTGGAGAACTTCTTGATATATACGTATACAAAATGCCAGAAATTAYCCAGAGAAGGAAATTAATAGAAACAAATTTATATAGAAAGACTAGAGAGGAGCACCAAGTTAAAAAAAATCAAGGATTTTTAAGACATTTAAATGACTGAAACGCTCAATCCTAACTTACCAAGGCAAACACCAACAAGTCCTCGAAGTACCGCAAAAAGCCAGAACACATTAGCAAACGAAGCAGTCAGTGCGAGAATGCTTGCAAGCACAGAAGGAAAGAACACTATTGGTTTACGTCCTATCTTGTCAGACAATATGCCACCAAATATCACGCCAACCATATACCCAGCAAACACAATACTCTTAGCCATACTGGATAAGCTTGATCGGTCGCATACTAAATCCCACTAAAAATGATATTTCAGACCAAGGTGTTATTAGTATGTATTTAAGGGTTTTTTGCCTGAAAAAAGGGACGGATGTCAATTTCGACAATTCTATAGCCAATATACAAGCGTCAATTATTTAGAACAATTTGCTGTTACTCCTTAGCCCTAGGTAAACGATTTTCATTCGGTGCAGCACGTGGTTTAATTGACAAGACATATGAATATGAAATATCTTGTGAATTTCAGAAATCGAATCGACTAGCCTGCTGATCGACTTGATTCGAGCGGTCGACAGAAGAAAGCAAAGAAACGATATAATTTCGCATGTGTCCAAATGTGAGTCAATATTACATCCAACCATTAATCTTGTAGACTTCAAAATACATAAAGACAACAAGAACTTCCTTTGCATAAAAAGCTTTTTTAAAATTCCCAGAAAGAATTGTAATTCTAAACTTTAGATAATAGCGAATTAAATGTTATTGGCATTGTAAAGAAGTTTTACTTTAGAACTTTATGTTGAATATTCTTGAAAAGAAGTCAAAAATACGAATGTGCAAATGTCATTTTTGTTACTTATTTTTATGTCTTTACAACCGAAACACGTTTTAAAATGGGACTGACTGCATGTCTATTGCCTGATATTACGCTATTGAATTTGAGAAAAATGAAAATGAGATGAGATGGAGAATGAAATTCTCGCATACCGTTTTCTATTATTATTTTACAGAGCTTGAATTTACCAAATGCATGTGCATTGCATACACGGCCTTTTGTAATAGGCAGCTATCGTACTTATTGTTCTGTTGTTATAAGCTCTTTTTACACAATCGCTGATGCTTGGTGCGTGACTTAATTGCTTGGGAGTATTATAAAATAACCGACTGTAAATAACCATTGTCTACTACCAAATTAGCTTTAGTAATCCGGTGGAAATGCATGAATAACATAGAAATACTAAGTAGTTACAATCGCTGGCAACAAACACATACAAATGCTGCATAGAATCGTGACTAGATTTGACTTCCGGTCATCAAGTCTAGCTGGAAAACAAAAATAAACCACCAACAAGACACTTTGCAGTGCAAATAAGTATAATATTTTCTGTTTCTMAGCTGATGTCGAATTTAATAACCATTCGACAAAAATCGTAAGTATAAAACGAGATATATATCTTACGAAGGACATCAGATTCGAATCAAGAGCACTAGCCGGTGGTCATGCAGACATTTGAATTGAATAAAACAACGGGAATTTTAATACGTACTTCTGATACAATCGAAGTAAATTCACTGGTATCAAACTCCCATTGGTCGCGATGAAGCCTACATCGTAGTTTATAACCATCTTGCCCTGGTGAAAAACTACCAGTGATATTACAAGATGAACTGTTGCTCACACAACGCCACGGAGGCTCTGCAGCCAAGAAGGACGCTATCATGCCTTGAAACCCATCTCCAAAGATCTGCATAAAGCCCATCAATATCAAAAGAAGAAATTGGTATCGCCCAAAACTACCAATTTTGTCCAGAACCTCATCAGTTGATAAGGGATCCATTTTTATTTAGATGTCTGCCGTTGAAGAATACATTATGATCGCCTTGAGTGATTCTGAGGGTTGAATTATAATTACATATGACTATCGTCTTACGAAGCGTGACATAGGTAATGAGATAATACACATGCATGGCTTTGTTTGGGAGAATTCAAGACCAGATCAGTCCAAAGACGAAACCACGCACAAGTAGAAAATTTTCAAAGTCACGCTCTCTTTCTCTTTTCTCTCTATTTCTCTTTTCACGTGCTCAAAATTTCCCGCCACTTTTTAGCGTGACCTATCACACTATATCACGAGCAATTAGTCAAGAAAAGAGATCTAAACTTTTGATCGAATTTTCAGGCTACATAATGGTCGCTAAGTAGTTCTAAACAAAGTATGCCTAGTCTGGTTTCAACAGAAACAGTTATTTGGCTGTAATTTGGAGTAATTTTGGACTGCCGGGCAACGAGTTTTTTAGAGACCGTGACCGGCAGTCAAGAYTTGTGTCAAGGAAAGACCGTCAAACTCTACGGCAAAGTAGATTAGGAAATAAATAGCGCTCTACTGAGTTGAAAATCAAGTTAAGAAAGTTTGATTTGCTTGTTTAAAGCCGTTCTGCCGACTTGAAGAAAGAGAGCGTGACCATTGTTAAGTCAAGTTTCGACGGAAAAAGGTGTTTTGTATACCATGCCGAGCAAAGACCAGCGAGCTTTATTCAAAGTAGGCCTGCTTAAAAGAATCGCTTAGTATTCCTCAACAAACTTTGCCTAATCTGGTTTCAACAAAAACAATTATTTGGCAGTAATTTGTAGAAATTTTGGACTGCCGGGCACCGAGTTTTTTAGAGACTGTGACCGGCTGCCGGGCATCTAGACTGTGTTTTACACATTAAAAAAATGTTAATGAAATACTTCAAAATACATCTAAGTTGACCATCTTGCAAGCAGCTCTCACAATCACCGAGTTATGTTGCCATTAGCAGCTTGATTATAAGCAAGTTTAACAGTTTCCACAAGCATCGTCTTTATTCAAACATATTTGCAATGTTTTTTTAAGCTCCTCCTCTAGTTCTTTCTTTCTTTTCTATCAAATTCGGCAAGCCATTTTATAACCCGGCCGGCCGGTTCTTCGACCCTGACCCTGTTTAAGACACTAGAAAGTGGAAATCCATACCGTGTTCAAAACAAATCGGAAAAATAAGGAATCGTTATCTACGCCGCAACCACCAAAACTGCAAGTATACTGACATCCATCAAAGACAATAAGAAGCTATTAATAACACGTTAATCCTGGTAATAGTGAAACGMTATTTCTACTATTTTTCAGTACAGCTTTTCGTATGAGAATATTACCCTGTCCAAGACACACACGGTATTTTTGAATTGTAAATCAATTATACCAGGTATAATTATATTCAGAGTCATCTGAGTCCTGGCTGATTTCCGAATCGGATGGGAGAGAAATCCATGAAAATAAAAACATTCTTTAAATATCGAAAAAATATTTAACACTAAATTCCAGACTGGGTTTTTTTTTCTTAAAAGCCCTCTCGAGTAAAATGCCAATAGCTTTCGGACCAAGACCGCTACAGCTCTGAAACTTTCGGACTTTTCCTAAAATGTATCTGGGCAAATTTTGATGTAGCTTTATCGTTGCCATGGCAACCAGTTTTTGCCACATAMGTTTTGAGCTATTTTCCTCAATTCTTAGCTTTTGGATGGCATTTTAATAAATTCAAGATGGCGATCCAAGATGGCGGATCCTAAGATGAATGAATGGTGTCTCGCTTTTTCCAACATATTGAAGTTGACACTTCGTGCAAGTTATTAGGTATATTATCCACACAGATTGGCAATGAGCAGTGAACAAAGTAGAGAACAATTGAACATTTAAATGATCTTAGAAGAACTGTTTATTTCTTTATTTATGTTGTTTATGTTTTTGGAGGCATAGTGCTCCAAGCCGGGGGCTATGTTAGGACGATACAAAAGCCAAATTCCGATGCAAGTTATTTTCACACGTGCATGTATTTAAGTAGCCAAGTTTTGTAAACTAAGTTAGTTAGTTTTTGAACCGAACCGAACCGAACCGAACCAAAATAAGCAAGATTATCTCATGTACCAGAATTCTCGAATTAAAAGAAACGACAAAACACTTTCAATCACTAATACGTGAATTCATAACCCACGATAAATAGCCCGTCACATGTTTTTAATAATAATAATAAAAAACTGACTTAAATTCCTTTATAACGTTTGCMCTTTTACTTATTAGCATATTTACTGCTTTAAAAAGCTGTATTTTTTCTATAGCAATCATGTAAAATAATAATATAGTTTCATTTCTAGACTTTTTGAGTGGCCAACTATTGGAAGGGCACCAGAAATGCCATCTTTATCATACGGATGCTGTCGGAAAGAGCCATAGAGATGCAGCATGACCTCTACCTCTGCTTTATAGATTARACCAAAGCATTCGACACTGTGCGGCACAACCTCCTCTTTGATATTCTATCAAATCTCCATATCGATGGAAAAGACATGGAACTTCTAAAAGCACTTTATTGGAACCAACAATCGGCTGTGAAAATCGATAACAGTTTGAGCTCTTGGATCGATATAAAACGAGGGGTGCGGCAGGGATGTGTCACCTCCCCCCTCTTGTTTTCTCTTTACACTGAAGTAATTATGAGYTCCATCTCAGATCAGGAAGGAATAAGTGTAGCGAGGCCATTTCTAGTTATCTCATATTTCGACTCAAGTGAACTCTGATTACTCAAGTTGTCATAGCAACGTCATGTTTCAGTAAGACCTTAATTACTATTTCTATGGTACGTTATCTGTTGACATTCTGCAACACCTCTGTCCAACACMCGTAATTGAATACTATTTGTACAGGATGAGAAATCTTACTCTGTAGTTCAGCTGTCGTCAAAAACCAGTTTTTGGCCAGTGATTAACGCATGAGCAGTAGAACTTTTATATCTGGAATATCTAATAAGCGTCACCAATTAAGTTTTGTTTGACTAAGAACTTTGAGTCAGAATTTATCTATCTTTTYCCGAATAAGACTTATATTCTTATTACTCAGTTTGTGTGAAAACCACTACTTAAGTCTTTGTCATCGACGCTTTGTCAGTTAATCCGGTTAACAAATAGTTTCTTTTGAACAAGAAGTTCACGAGTCAATAGGTCACGTTATGGCCAGATAACACATATTCAATATAATTATGACGACACTCAGAATAACTAGTTTGACAGGGTTGTCCTTATAAAAAAGGCACCCTTTCCTACATTCTACACACTTGTATATTTGTAACTTGAGTCTTAATAACGACGAATAAAGATCCTAGTAAGCTCTACATTTGGTCTCCTTGGTTAGTAAGTCAAGCCCCATTACATAAGGGTTGGAGGAGTCAATGTTAATAACATTCGCTTTGCAGACGACACTGTAATTATAGCCGACTCGGTGGGAAAACTTCAATCACTGATGGACATAATTGTGGCCAAGAGTGAAGAGAAGGGGTTGTTTATCAACAGAACAAAAACATTCACCATGTGCGTCTCTAAAAAAGATCCCCCACCGCCTTGTCTGATCAGCATCAACGGCGAGAGTATCAAGCAAATAGACAGGTTCTCGTACCTGGGAAGTATGGTAACAGCAGATGGAAGATGTGAGACAGAAATTAAGAGAAGAATCGGAATCGCGAAATCTTCCTTTAAAGCCGGCGTAGAGAAACTTCTGATAAATCGAACCCTGAAGAAAGAAACAAGGATAAGGATTCTGAAGTGTTACGTTTGGGCTACCCTTCTTTATGTATGCGAAACCTGGACTGTTACCGAGAGTATGGATAAACGACTGATGGCAGCGGAGATGTGGTTCTTACGACGTATGTGGAAGGTTCGCTGGTATGATAAGATCACAAACGAAGAAGTCCTAAGGAGAGCAGAAACGAAAAGATCATTGATTGCCGATATTTACACGAGACAATTGAGCTTCTTAGGCCACGTTCTAAGAAAAGAAGGCCTTGAGGGACTTATGTGCACGGGTAGGATAAATGGAAGGAGGAGTAGGGGTAGACCTAGGAAGATGTATTTGGATTCATTGACGAAGATCACCGGGAAGAAGAAACTTGAGCTGCTGCAAGGTTGCCACGATCGTGCAGCATGGCACAATATGATAGCCAACGCCAGATCTGGCATGGCACAATGATGATGATGATGATGATATGAAATTTGTGGCGAAGAGAAATGTTGGTACGAGTCTGATTTAATCGCGTCTTCGCCATACTTACTTAATTACATACAATCATCTACAATCAGTCCATGTACTTTT